CAATAATATTATTTATTCATTTATTATAATAAAAAATATCAAAAATTATTGTAATAATAAGATATCTAATAGTAACAAAGTTTATTTATAAATGAATAAACAATACTAATTTAATATTGAATAATATTCAAACAAATATATATCAAAATCAATATAAAATCATTTTAAATATAATAATATATAATAATAATTAATATAATAATAATTCTATGTGAATTGAAATCATAATCATGATAGGCTAGAATCTTTTTAATCTATTTGTCATAATATTATTTTGCATCTTCATAACTATTTTAAGAACTAATATCATAACTTTTCAATTTTTAATTTATATTTTTTAAAAAAATTAAAAACATAAGCAATATGTAACATATTTTATCTATTTTATCTATTTTATTTATATATTTCATCTATTTTATCTAATTACCTTCTGAATGGTAAATCTAAATCAAATGCAGTACAAATTTCTTGTAGTAATGTTAAATAAAAACCACTAGCTGCTTCTAAGCACCAACTAAGTAAAGCTTGAGATTCTCCACGTTTAGGATTTTTCCTATCTTTTGCTTGAGATTGTAAAGTTGCTATATAATTTTTAAATCCAAGATTCCAAAGTTCCTGTTCAACTTTTCTATCAAGGGCATATTCCAAATCTAATATCAGAACTTGTTGATATATTTTCTGTAATTGTTGTTGGCATACCCATGCATCACTATCATTTAAAAGATCTCTACAACGTTGTACTTTATCCTTTAAGGGCTCTGCTTTTCTAATAAAAATAATAATCAAATAAACTTTTAACAAACTTTAGATAAATATTTTTTTATAACATTTAAAAACAATATTTTTATTTTTAACTTACTTTAAAGCTTGTACAGCAGCGTTTAGGCCCATAGTCTATATACCTTAAATTTCTGATATAAAATGTTTTATCTATGAAAAAGAAAAAACTAAATACACATATTATTATTCAATTTGTAAAAATATTATATATTTATGTAATATATTAAATATCATATTATAATCATTATTGTAATAATATTATGATATTATTATTATATGTATTACATTATATATATATTATATATTACATATTTTATATTATTACATATTTAATATTTAATATATTGTGTATATTATTATGTATATTATTATTATTATATATTATGAATAAAAATATGTTAAAGAATAATTTATAAAGGTTAAATTCATAATTATGTTAAAATATACAAATAATTACATATAAACTTTCACATATGATATTTATTTCAAATTATATAAACAAAATTGTTAAATAATTGTTAAATAATTATATACTTACAATATAATATTTGAGATATTGAATTTTCAAAATAAAATAAAATATTATCAAATCTTGTATATGATATAATTTACTTATTATATTAAGGACAATATATCTATGTATATGCATATATATTACGACTCAACAGTTAGGTTAACTATAAGCCAATGATAATGTGATAATAGCAAAAAAGTTATAAATAATATTTATAATATTCATTTTTAATTCTAAAATGAGAAACTATATAAGATAAAGGTTAATTAAAATGTCTTCGAAAAATAAAAAATAAGACTTACTTTCACATATTTATGTTAAACTCAAATTATACCGCATTACTGATATGTATTTCGTTTTAATGAAAAACTGCACTGCCTTCGTATTAAACATTTATGTTAGTTTCAATCAGAAACATTAAAATTTGCTATGAATGTAAACAAAATTTGTAAAAATATACGATCGAACCATATATCAGCAAATTGTTAACATAAATCTTGTAATAAGAAAAAATTATTAATATTCATATACTATATTCTTGATATGTAAAAAAAGATTTCTCAATGATGAGATTCGTAATATCAAGTAGAAGAAAAATTGCAGTTTTGTGAAATAAATATACTTATTAAAAATGTTAACATTGGCATTTACCAAAATTTGTATTCGTCTTCAACGAAATCGAAATGAAACAAATATATATCGATCGTTTTCATTAGTACGTACATTTTTTTTATAATATACAATATTTTTCATATTGTTTAATAATTCGCTATTATTTTATTTTATCAATTATATGTAAAAATTGTTATACATATAATGTTAATAATATAATTTTATGTGACAGTGTTTATAACAAAGCATTTCAAATATTTCTTTTTTTTTTGTCCCGTAATTTTATAATGATTATTTATTTGTTTTGTTTTAGAGTCGTTTTATTTTTTTAAATGAACAAAAAAAGAAAGAAATAGAAATAAAACAAAAAGAATTAATGGCACGTGGTCTTCCAAAAGTGAAACCTTTAAAAGGTGTTAAACAAATCGTTGTTGTAGCATCTGGAAAAGGTGGAGTTGGCAAATCAACAATTGCTGTAAATTTATCAATCGCTTTAAAAACTGTTGAACCACAAAAATCTGTTGGTTTACTCGATGCTGATGTATTTGGTCCATCTGTGCCATTAATGATGAATATACGACAGAGTCCCATGATTAATAATGCAAATCTTATAGAACCTCTTGTAAATTATGGTGTAAAATGGTGATAAAATAATATTATTTATTTTATTTATATTCTTATTAATATCTTTAAAATTAAAATTTTATATATATATATATATATATATAGCATGTCTATGGGCTTTTTAATTGATAATAAGTCTTCTGTAATTTGGAGAGGATTAATGGTAATGAATGCTATTGATAAGTTATTACATCAAGTAGCATGGGGTCCGTTGGATTATCTTGTCGTAGATACCCCACCCGGAACAGGAGACACACATCTTTCAATTGTACAAAATCTTCCAGTTGCTGGTGTATTATTAATAACTACACCTCAAACAACAGCTTTAGAAGTGACTAGAAGAGGAGCTAACATGTTCAAACATCTAAATATTCCAATTATTGGAATTGTGGAAAATATGAGCAGTGTTATATGCCCACAATGTAATAATGAAATAATTCTTTATAATGATGGAACTCGAATAATTGCAGAAGAACTTGGTATTAAAGTTATGAACACATTAATATAACATATTAATGTTATATTAATATATATATATTAAATTTTCTTTTTTTTTTAGGTGTGCAAATTTTACAAACTTTTCCTTTATCAGAAGCTATTATGAATAGTTGTAATAATGGTAAACCAATTATATTATCTGCACCAAAAAGTATACAAACTGATATGTATAAACATTTGGCAGAACATGTAATTTTCTTTTTAACTAAACAACCATTAAATATAAAATAATAATTTTATATTTTATTTTAATTATTTATTCCAAGTTAATTTCAAATATTAAACAAATATTTTATTATTCATTTAAATATATAAAATGTTGAAATAATTATACAAAAGATATTCAAATCAGAATATTTTGATTTATTTATTGTAATTATTATTATTTTTATCTTTCTTTATATTTTATCCCCTCTCTAAATATTTCTGATTCATTTTATAGATGACTTCATAGTTATTTATACCTTTTGAAAGTAGGTAGTCTTAATTTATTTTAATATATTCTATATTTATTTATATTATGAAAATATATATATTATTTATTAATTATAGTGTAAAATTAATAAATAAAGAATTATTTTGACATATTAAAAATAAAAACGCATGTTTAAATAATTAACAAACATGTTAAACTAACCTAAATGTATATATTTTAGTGCAATATTTTTTTGCAATTTTTTTTATTAATTTACATTAAGTCAACTTGCATCATAAAAAGTATTTGCGTAAAAATATGTTAAATGTATAAATCACATCTTTTATTTTGAATTATTATTTATTAATTATGTTATCTTATTTATGATTAAATATTACATCTTTTATTTTATTTTATAATTTTAGAATCTAAAATGAATATTGAAAATTCTATTAGCATTCATTCTGATATAAATGCAGAAATTTATGACATCCCAATGAATGTACTTATTCGACCTATTCCTCCAATTATTAATGAAGAAAAGGTTCAAAGTTTAATAAATACATTAAGCAATCCTGAAACAGAAATATTTGTACCACCAATCGATGTTTTATGGATTAAAGGAAGCAAAGGTAATAAAAATTTTATTTTTTTTTTTATTTATAACATATATTATAGAAATAATAAAGAAAAGTAACTTTGCTTTTGAATTAGCGAAAAATTATATTGATTTTTGACTATAAGATAAATAATTTCATAGCTTATACTAATCTAATACCATTTAATCTATCAATATTTATGATAAATTTATTTTATAAAGATAGAATTTTATGTTTACAAAATATCTTATTTTTGTTTATATTAAACTGTATTTTTATTAAAGCAACAATGAGAAACATTTTATCAATATTTTGTTTCTTGAAAAAATTATTAAATATTTTATTGGTTTTTTCACATTTCTTATCAGCAACAAATTTCATCTGTTTCCATTCAAAGCAGTAAAAACATAAAATTTACAATAATTTATGACAACAAAAATAAATGCTTCTTTAGTATGTACATCTTGTCATCCAATTTGCATTTTTCGTTTCTTTTTTATTTATTTATTATTTAATTTTAATTTTATTATTTTTTATATTCTTTTTATTTTATTTATTATTATTATATAATTTCTTTTACTAATAAATAAGAAGAGAGTGACAAATTTTTATCAATCATCATTAATAGTTTGGGATAAATTAATTTTGATATGGACAATCTGTAGTAAAAATAAATATAACCTTGAAATTGAAACAAAATCTAAATATTTTTATTATTGTTTTAATCTGAACAAAATATTTTTATAAATAAATGTTTATTATAAACATTTGGAAACATATAATAATAAGAAGTGACAAAAAATTCCTCGATTTTGCTTGAATGAAATAATGAATTTTGTTTTAGAAATCAATATATAATATATCACATATAAAAATATGTTTCATATGATATGATAAAAAA